CAATCTTGAAGTCCTTATTTCTTTCACTGGAAGACTAGGCTGCAAACTCACTTAGGAACCTTAAGTGTACATGACTGACTATATAACAGATTTCAGATGCACCACATGAGGAAATGTGTTCTCACCCTAGATGGGAGTGCTGGAAGAATTAACTAAACATCTAATGGTAAATCAATGAATATAAAGGGAAAAGGCACTGGGATTTTACAGTGTTAACTGCCTGATGAAATTAGTCAGAGTACCTTAAGTAATATTTTGTATGACCCTGATTTTCAGTGCTACATGTTGAATGCATCAGACTTAAGATGACAATTGTTTTTCCTTAAATTTTGGGAATAGAGAATAGACAATTAAGAAAGACGATCAAGTATATTTTCAAGGTTTTGAATCTAATGGTGTCTATAAACCTTCAGCTGACCAGAACAATATAGCAGAAATCCAAAGAGAAGACGAGAACAGCATTGAGTTTTGGCACCGTCGCTTTGCACACAGAGATTCAAAGGTGATCCTGGAGTTGCAGAACAAGAACCTTGCTATAGGTATCAAGGTAAACCTGTGCCAACAACACAACCAGGTGCATAAGCTTTATTACAGAAAAAAGTACTAGGCCCTCATTCCAATTAAGGACTGAGAAAAGAATCACCAAGATGCTAGATGTAACACACGGTAACCTGTGTGAGTCACTTAATGTGCCATCACAATGTGTGGAGCACAATAGATGTATTCTAATAACAAGATGCATGCTTGCAGATGCAGAGATTCCCAACAAATTCTGGGATGATGCAATCATGACAGCAACATACTGAATCTCCAGAACTGATTGCTAGCCAAAGGCACCACAAAAACATCATTTGAGTTATGGCAGGGCAGAGTACAAAGTGTGGAACATACCAGAGTCTTTGCAAAAGGCACAAAGTGGACTATAGAACAGAACAGCCTATTTTACTTGGCTATGCCCCTGGCAACAAAAGCTGTAAAGTAATGAACTTAAAAACAGGTGAAGACAGCACAAGACATTAATTAATTTTGAGAAACAAAAAAGGATTGTGTTAGCTCTGAAGAGCAAAAGCGAAGCTGGCTGCTTATATACTGCCCTGTAGAACTTAAAGCACTCTCTAGGCGGTTTACAGTTTATGTAGGCTAGCCCCCTCCCCAAAGGCTGGGTACTCAATTTACCAACCTTGGAAGGTTGGAAAGCTGAGTGAACCTTCAGCCAGTTAACTGGAATTGAACTCAGGTCACAAGCAGAATTTTAGCTGCAGTATTGCAGTTTAAGCACTGCTCTGAAAAGCAGGACCATTATGCTGAACATCTGCTAGGCACTGCAGTGTCAGTGCTTTCAACCAAAGCCAAAGGTAGAGCAGGGAGAGGAGGACACACATAATAAGAGCAGTACACCAAGAGGAGGGGGAAGAGATGGAGATGTTGAGGCTGTTGGAAGAGGCACCTACGCCACTAGATGTTCCAGAGCCAGCCATCAGATACTCATCTTGACGCAACTGAAGTGCACTGTCTCCTCAACCTGATCTTCCTTACAAGATTGTCGATGATGAATGAGCTTGTGACCTGGGAAGAAGTTGAACAGATGCCAGCAGCTGAAGGCACCCGATGGAGAGGAGCTGCAGGAGAAGAGATAGAAATCCTACACAAGATTGAGATGTGGGTCCTGACCGGACTACAGTACCATCAGAAGCAAGTGGGTCTTCACAGTGAAACAGGGTGTAGACCAGGGATGGGCAATTAATTTCTATGGGGGGGCACATGAAAAATCTGAACTGTGATCGGGGGCCGAACCAACTTTACTTAAAAATAAAATGAAACAGTGATGTTATGATTGTTTTTATTTTAAACTTGTTAATCTTCACAAATACTAAAGAAGTTTTTTGCGGTATGTTTAAGATAAGCAACTGCAAGAGCTATAAATGGTTTTGATGTCCGGCAGGCCGGACAGGAGCGGCTCACACTTTGCCCAGAGCTGGTGCAGACAGAGAAATTGTGTGCTACAAAGCAAGGCTGGTTGCCAAAGGATTCCTGCAGAAAGATGGAATAGATTTCAGTGAGACCCTTTCCCCTATTGTCAAGCACATCATGTAAGGATGCAGCCCTCTAAACTTGTGGTTCTCAGCCCACAAGATCCCCAGATGTTCTTGAACTAAAACTCCCAGAAGCCTTCACCACTAGCTATGCTGGCCAGGATTTCTGAGAGTGGTAGCGCAAGAACATACTCTAAAGTGATACAAGTCAAGCACCTAGATGTGAAAACTGCATTTCTCCATTGAGAGATTGCAGAGGAACTGTACATGGAACAGTCACCTGGCTCCATCAACCAGAAGCATCCTGCTTTTGTCTGCAAAATAAAGAAATGGATTGAAACAGGCAGCTCAGACCTGGAACAAGAAACTGAAGAAGATGCTGCTTCACTGAGGTTTCAAGCAAGGTGAGGCAAATCAGTGCTTATATATCAGAAGCAGAAATGGCCATTTAACCTTTATTCTTGTCTATGTGTAGATGACCTAATTTTAGCTGATCATAGGGAACAAAGATACAAAGAGATTGTGTGCTATCTTAACAGGGAGATAGAAATAAAGGAGATGCAGCATACGATTTGGCATGCAGATTGAAAAGGAAGGCACATATTTGCTGAACCAAAAGCAAAAAATAATTGATCTTGAGGACACATTAGGTTTCCAAAATGTTCATTCACACTGTTGCAATGCCCATGACAATAGACTTTCTTAAAGGTAAAGAGAAAAGTGAATCTCTACCAAATAGCAAATACACAGAACATCTATAGGAATGCATTTGTACCTAACAACCACTACTAGACCAAACATAACTACCACAGTCAGAATACTGCACAGAAAAGTTAATCAACACAGGTTGACTGGACAGCAGTCAAAAGGGTTGCTGGATAAGTGAAAAGGCTGATGGACTCTAAATTAAGACTGCCAGTGAGTAAACACCGAAAGCTTGTAGAATACACAGATGCAGACTGTATGTCCACCAGTGAGTTCCTGTATATGTATGGTGAGAGGCCTATTTCATAGGCCAGTCATAAACAAGATATTGTAACAAGATGAAATACCATCAGATGAGTGCTGTCCTCTGAAGATGCCGGCCACAGAGACTGGTGAAACGTTAGGAAGAACAACCTCCAGAACATGGTCAAAGAGCTCGAAAAACCCACAACAACCATTAGATCCCGGCCATGAAAGCCTTCGTGAATACAAGAAGTTGTAACTTTGTCTTCAAGAAAGTCTGAGTTTCTTGCTGCACTGGAAGCATGCAAAGAACGGCTATAGCTAGAGAAGCTACTAAATGACTTTAGAGTAGAAGAGATGCCTGTTCAGATGATGGAAGACAACCAGGTCAATGCAAAACTGTCACAGAGTGTGAAGATGAATGCATGCACCAAACACCTTGGCATGAGGTACCATCTAGTAGGTGACCTGACCAAGAAGGGAACCGTCCAGGTGATCTACTGTCCCACCATTATGATGACAGCAGACATCCTGACCAAGCCTCTACCAAGAGATCGAACCTGCGAGGCGAGATGGGACTCATAGAGAAGGTGCTGCATGCAAGCTTGAGAAGAGGTTTTGGGAAATCTAACAATCTTGTGTGTCTTTTTAATGCCGCGTATCAGTGGGAGGGGACTTTTGCAGTCTCATGTGTCAATCCTTTGCCACTAACCAATTAGCAAACTCCTAGCCTGAAGGCAAGCCTCCACCCGCTTTTCCTGTCTGTTTGCTGCCATTACCTTATCTTACCTTGTCTTTTATTTTTCTTATGTTTTTATGTTGTAAGCTGCCTAGAGTGGTTGCAACGACCAGATAGGCGGGGTATAAATAAAATAAAATTACTGTGTTTCCCTGAAAATAAGACAGGGTCTTATATTAATTTTTGCTCCAAAAATGCATTAGGGCTTATTTTCAGGGTATGTTTTATTTTGCAGTCATGTCATCATCTTCTAGTTGCTGCACAAGGGTGAAGGGCGGGATTTCACTTAACTGGGGCTTATTTTTGGGGAAGGGCTTATATTACGAGCATCCTGAAAAATCATCCAGTACTAGGGCTTATTTTCAGGTTAGGTCTTATTTTCGGGGAAACAGTGTAGTTCCTGCTGAGCTTTGACCATGTTTCATGAAGTCAGGATGAATCTCTCATAGCCATATGGTTGATATATCATCTTTTTCCCTTTTCTGTCCTTTTTATTATTTCGTTTTTAACTAAACTTTGTAAAATGTAAGTAAATATATATAACTGAACATGCTTCTAAGCCGCCTAGAGTGGTCGTTTGACCAGATAGGTAGGGTATAAATTCAATAAATAAATAAATAAATAAATACATGTGTAACTGTCATGAGACTCCGCTCGTCCAGGTAGGGCCGTAGCTGGTATAGTTTCCGCAGCTGGAGGAAGGCGCCCCTGGCCACCGAGTCCACCTGGGCTTCCAGTGTTAGACTGGGGTCCAGGAGCACCCCCAAGCTACGGACCCTGTCCCTTAGGGGGAGTGTAACCCCATTCAGGGCAGGGAGATGGCCCTCCAGCCTGTCTGGCGAAGCACCCACTAACAGCACTTCCGTCTTGTCTGGATTGAGTTTCAATTTATTGACCCTCATCCAGTCCATTATCAGGTCCAGACACGAGTTCAGGACAGAAACCGCCTCACCTGGATTGGTGGAAAACGAGAGGTAGAGCTGAGTGTCATCAGCATATTGCTGACTCCTCAGCCCAAACCTCCTGATGACCTCTCCCAGCGGTTTCATGTAGATGTTAAACAGCTTTCTTTCACTGTTTTAAGTTCTGGTTAGCTAAGGGGGTGGATTCTGAAAATGTGTACTCTTTTATGCTTTCTGCACTGTTTTGTTGATGATTTGGGCTCTGAATGCATGCACCAAACACAGAGATGGGATTGGCAAGACATGGGAGATTCATCTTCATTGGCACAGGTGGCCAGCCAGATTAACACCCGCTCCCGAACCCGCCGGTCAACTTACCACTCACTGCCCACAGTCGCCGTTGTTGACAGTACGTCAGTCGCAGCAGTCCCTTGGCTAGTGCTGCTCTGCCTCCCTGCTCGGCCGGCCACTCAGTGGCTGAGCAGGGAGACTTGTCATCCCATTCCTCGCCAGAGTGGCCAGCCGAGCAGGGAGGTGGGGACTGTGCCAGCCGGGCTACTGCTGTGATTGTCATGCGGATGACAATGCTGGCCACAAGCAGTAAGTGGACCGGTGGGTTCTGGGGGTGGGTATCGATCAGGACAGCCACCTGTGCTGGTGAAGAAGACAATCGTGAATGTCCCATGTCTAGAATTGACCAAAGCTCTAGTATATATATGTATATTTCAGTTTTTTCCATAATAATGAGTTCCAGATACGTGGATGGGTTGCAGTGTAAGGTTACAACACTATACAACCCTTTATTCTCTTTACCTTACCTGGGACCATAACAGAACTTAATACTGAGTAGACATGTCCAGATTTGCACTTTTACCTTTTGCATGAAATTGACATCCCAAAATTCTAAGTAGGAAACTGTTTTCATGAAAAAAAGAGAGAAAAGATCAGTGTTTTTAAAAATGGTGGGAGAAAGAGAAGGGAGATTGAGCAAGTATTGTGAGGATGGATGCAGAGGGCTTTTCAGCAGGGCAGACCCGAGTAAAATTCCTAACTGTATCATATTATTAATGATAAATTGACTTTTAAAATATTGGGTATTATTATAATATTGGGTATTATTTTAATGGTTTTAATGTGGTTCTAAAGTTTTAATATTAATATCCTGTTATTAATATTTAATAATGCCGCTCAGAGACCATTGGTAATGGCACGGTTAAAAATCTTGTAAATAAAATAAATAAATAAATATAAATCGCAGGTAAGGAATCTTTAGCTCTCATGTTGATAAGCTACAGTTTCCTTCATATTGCACCACTGGATAGGGGTGGATTAGTATTCAGTAATATCTGGAAAGCCATAGGTCTGCCCAGTCCTGAGATAAACGTTGAATTTAAACATGAATATAGTTTACTTAAGTATGTATACAGAAAGAGCAGTAGCAGTTATTGCTAGTCTGAGGTAGAAGAGGATGATTAACCCAATGGGATTTACTGCCATTCAGCAGTGATCTAATCAATTTACTCTAGTTGGGACTAGCAGTAGGATATTAGCCATAAAACAGGAGCTACTGCAAGAAATATGAAAGCAAAGGAAGACATGTGAGTTCCAGCTCTTTAACTTAACTTTTCAGTGTCAAAGGCCATTCAAGCAGCAGGAAGAAAGAAGAGCAATAACATGAATCATAGGCAAATCACTTCGCTCTAGAGATGTCAAAGCACGTACAACATTTTTTTTAGAAAAAGCAATAAACACAAAATAGGGTTGTAGTTTTTGAAGTTATAGCCTTGTTAGTCTCTGCAAAAAGAAAAATCCAATGGGAGACAGCTGGGATAAAATATATACACGTCCTGGACACCCATCACAATGGATTAAATATTGGCCTAGGTGTTTTTAGTCATTGCCAGCTGCAATAATTATGTTTTCTACTGGTATTTTTCTTCCCAGCTAACTAGACCCACCTTTTCAGAACAAGGCTCAAAGGTAAAGTCCGTCGTTCTCTAATTACTTCCTTTAATCACTGTTGCTGTTTACAGAACCAAGCTTCAAAATTATTGCTCAGTGTGAAATGCAACCAAGCACCCCTGTCTTTCTGTCTTAGAGCCTTGTATGAATGTTTTATTATACATACGTAAATACATATGTATTTATATTGATGCTGAATACTATCTTTTAATAATTTAATTTCTGTTTATGTGTACAGCCTGATTGGCTATGAAGCAGTATTCATGTTCTTATTTATATTGTAGTTTCTGAATTCAGACTCTTATGTCTGACAAAGTGAACATGTTCCACAAAAGCTTACATTAAAATATAGCAGTTTGTCATATCTTTTTTTTTAATACAACGTTTGCATTGCCCATAAAATAGGTAGTAGATCAGACTACACAGAAAAGGCTTGATTAAAAAAAAAGACTGAATGGGTTTATAAGGAAGAAAATAATCTCTCAGGTAACATTGACAACTACATTATTTATTTATTTGATTTCTTTCCCGCAAATGTGGCTACCAAGGCCACATTAGTCCTCCGGGTGCATTTTGCTTCAACCAGAGAACCAAGTGGTAAAGGATATGAAGACACTCCTTACAGCTGGATGCAGACCTCTGTTTCATGACAACACTTTGTTGCTCCTGGGCCGGTGGCCATCTTGGCTGTGGGTTCTGCGAGTTTTAATCAAAAAAAGAAAACTTCTAAATTCAGCAATAGCATGACCTGTGTGGTAAGGACAAGGACCATTCTACATGGTATAATCCTTCTTTAATTATGAAGAGTTGGAGAACTTATCATAAAGAGATATTATTTATTGAACAGTACTTATCTGAACTGCTGGATATCCCGCGCTGCAGTTCTTAGATGCCTCTGATCTGTCCTGGAACTGGACCGGCCCTACCATTAGGCAGAATCAGGCAGAAAATGTTAGCTGGAAAAGCAACATATTTTGCATTGTTATTATTGTGTTTCTACTGCTAGGAAGAATAAGGCAGTATTTGTGGGATTTTCTGCTCCGTGCCCAAATCACTTTAGCGGCCTTAAATGGTATATTGCAATGCCTCAGGCAGCCAAATGTACTGGGCCTGGCCCATCCTGAAGGCTTTACAGCTTTTTTCCACATTAATATGTTGATTTAAAGTTTCTTAAACTTATAAAGTGCTGTAAGTAAATCCATTAAGCACAGTAGACCTGCTGTTTAAATTCTGGCTTGATACTGGTGAAGTTGTTGTTTAGTCGTTAAATCATGACTGCCTCTTTGTGACCCCATGGACCAGAGCACACCAGGCCCTCCTGTCTTCCACTGCCTCCCAGAGTTGGGTCAGATTCATGTTGGTCGCTTGGTGCTAAAAGGGGAAATCTTGGACATAGGGTAGAAAATAGACTCTGCTGTTCCTGAAGATCTCTGCGTTAAGTAGCAGATTAGTAAAACTTTCTGGCTTTAAATTATTAAACAGCACCTCCAACAAAATTACTTTTCTTATCCAAATTACAGTGCTGAAATGAAAAGAACAACAAAAATGAAACAAAACAAACTCACTCAGTTCTAATACTGATAGCAAATTCCTGGGCTGAGAATATTTTGAGAAGAACTTTGCTTTTTACATCACAGTGTATATCCTGGCTAAGGTGGTTTGTGGTAGTTGGAGTTGTTGAGTAAAAAGCCCCACACCAGTTTCTTCTGGTAAGCCAGAATCCTGTACATCCTCATGCATTTTATTCTTCTTTGTCCTTTCCTAGGGAAAAAACAAAGATGAAGATTACTTTGTAGCTTTAAAAAATCCCCAGACTCACAGATATTCTTTGTTTTTATGAGCAACTAAAAAGGCACAAAAGCTTTTGCTTTCTCCTTATGGCTACAACATCTGGCCTGTTTTAAGACCTGTCCACCTCTCCTCCGATCTCTTTTCTGTGCCACTTACTATGGTGAAGGATTCTGGAGAACACAATACAGCAGTGTGTTTTATGTGTCACCAAGTCTGTACTTTATGGCCTTCTGGTTGGTCCTAATTAGGTTACTGCCTGCCCAATTCCAACTAGCCAGCCAAGGGGCTTGAGCTGACAGTAAGTCAGCTGAGGTTGTGTTGAATCCAAACCTCTCCCAGTGTAGGGATGTGAGTAATTACTAGGAGTATGCTAGTAATCCCAGGCTGTGTGCCAAATTAGTGACTTTGAGTCTGGACTGAGGAGGGGTTCAGGTCTGGAATAACTAGGCTCTTTCCCTTCTCCGCCCCCTAAGTTGGCTCTTTTGCCAGCCAGCACAGAAGTTGTGCCAGCAGATCTGGAAAGGTGGTGTTCATATCACCTCAAATTGGTGCATCTGGAGTGGCCCAGCTGACAGATGCTGCTCATGGGGTGCATGGATTATTTTGGGAGACGCCTTCTGTGCCTCCCTGATTTGAGATCAGTATGTCCAACAGGGGATGTGGTGGCGCTGTGGGTTAAACCACAGAAGCCTCTGTGCTGCAGGGTCAGAAGACCAGCCGTCGTAAGATCGAATCCACACAACAGAGTGAGCTCCCGTCGCTTGTCCCAGCTTCCACCAACCTAGCGGTTCGAAAGCATGCAAAATGCGAGTAGATAAATAGGTACCACCTCAGTGGAAAGGTAACAGCGTTCCGTGTCTAAGTCGCACTGGCCACGTGACCATGGAAGATTGTCTTCAGACAAACGCTAGCTCTATGGGATGGAAACAGGGATGAGCACCGCCCCCTAGAGTCGGACACGACTGGACAAAAATTGTCAAGGGGAACCTTTAACTTTACTTTTATGTCCAACAGGGCTGTGTCAACCCATGGAGCTTCAGCCCTGTTCCAACCCCACAATGATGGCCATACCTTTGATGGTGAATTGCACTGTGAAGATTTAGTTTTTCTCCTTCCCT